AGCAGGTTGAAGCAGCGGTAATGTTCTAAGCTCATTTCCAGGAGATACTCCGTTCGAATCTCTGTCAGAACAGTCGTTTATAATGATTGAGGTTTTTCAAGGTTATCCTCCAGACAAATGTCGGGGTAATGTCTCGATTAGACCACGACGGATTCCTTACAAATCCCTCACCATACATCATTCAGCAGTCCCTCTGCTCACCATGTTACAGTCTAGACACTGAACAGCGCTGTAAAATAACGAGATAAGAGAAAAGCATGAAATTGACGTAATGTAAAAAGGTTAAGCTGTCCTGTAACAGGCCGTGAAGGCCCATAGGTTTGTGAGACGTCCAGGCTCCCACATTCCTATACAGTCGGCTCACAGATGGCGGTGAGGCTGTCAGCGTTACGCGCCGACCGCCCTTTACCACCAGGAAGATTCCTGGTACTCATTTTTGTTAGAGGCTGAGTCGAACCAAGGGCCATAGTACGGCTGGAAAGATTAGGTAAATCGAAGAACTCCACCTCATCGGGACACGAACTCGCGACCTTCCGCCTTGTAGCAAAGTGCCTCAACCAACTACGCTACCGCGTACTTGTCGAAAGCCGTTCTACTACATTTGGTCAATTTTATCTACTTAGAGCGAGAATGGTCCAAATGTTATAAGCCAGAATCAGGTGCCAGATACATTAAATTAGTGAAATATCTTTCAAGCACGCATGGCGGGCATGTCACATCTATACACCATTTCCTTATGTACTTCAGACTGCCGGACTGAACATTTTGGCTTGAAATTTTTGGTCCTCATGGCAACAGCCATTAAGAATACAGTCTTCTAGGAACTGACACAGCGTAATTTTGTTGAGATATGCAGAAGTTTCCAAGGGACCTACCTAAGGGTACTATGGCATATAGATACAGTATTTACGCATGTATAGGCTGCGTGCGTGTATAGGCCGCAGCACAATTTTCAGACAGAAATTATAGAAAAAATAATTTTCTTGTAATATTATTTCAGGAGTAGAACACCCTGTATTACTAATTATGAATATAATTTTTTTTTTAATGAAGTGTGATTTCGAATATTTCGAATATAAGCCGCACCCCAGTTTTCCTCTTGAATTTTTGATAAAAAATGTGCGGCCTATACATGCGTAAATACGGTATATTTCCAGGCAACGATCGTGAAACATAAAACAAGACAACAGCCGTTGCTAGGTAGCAGATCCTTAACACGCAACAGCTGAACTATAAAAATAGAAACTTTTGGAAACGGTATTTTCTACTCGGTACGTGCAAAGGGGTTATAAAACGAGGATTTTTCCCCCTTGGCACTACAGCCCCAGTGGGCCTAGGCCTACCTTCATGAACTCCGTTCACTTCGGTTTTTCTAGATCTTACACATACGGTAGGACTCCTTGGGCGAGTGATCAGCTCGTCACATGGCCTCTACCTGTAGACAAACAGAGAAAAACGCACACAAACATCCATTCCCTGAGTGGGATTCGAACCCACGATCCCGGCTTCCGAGCGAGTGAAGACAGTGCATGCCTTAGACCGCTCGGCTACCGTGACCGGCATATAACGAGGATACCAGTTGTAAAGTAAATTTATCTATGAGTTACAGTTAGTTAATAGTCAGTGTGTGTGAAGAAAAGGCTACGATGTTGATGCAAAATGGCCGCCAGCCTAGGAGTTAGTTAGTTTAGCACCGAAAGAATTGTAATGACGAAAACATTTCTTCGGTGCAGTAAGCACAGAAGGTGAAGAATCTCTGCTGTTAAAATGACACCTGAGCATGGCTGTAGTAAGTCACTGTTGTTATTATTATTATTTTGGCTTTACAGCCCTTTGTTGGGCGTTGGCCTTTCATTTCTCAGTTTCTAGATTCTATACACAGTCGGTAGGACTCCTTGGACGGGGATCAGACCATCGCAAGGCCGCTACCTAGGTACAGAACAACACAAACACAGAAAAATCGCAAACAATACACACATCTATGCCTTGAGTGGGATAAAAACCCACAATCCCTGCGTTCGAGGGAGCGAAGACAGTTCATACCTTAGACCAAGCAAGCATTGTGATCGGCTGCTGCAGTGTGTGAAGTGCTTAAGCTGATGGTTATAAAATTGCGTGCAAAAACAGTACTTATTGTATTCCCTATGCCGAAAAGAGGGGAAATGTATAGCTGGTTGTTTTGTATTTGTACTAGGGGTCTAAATGCAGGAGAACCAGACATTAACAAAATATAAACATGATAGTGAAGTGTTATTCCACCTCTGAATTTTCAGCTATGTACGTAGCGCGGTGTAACAATGAAGATGGCTATGCTCTGGATGAGGAAGACAGGTACTTCTGTTAGTAAAAATGTATTATGAATTCATCTGAAGCTGTCATGTTTAATATAGCGAAATAAGACTGTCTGTTGCCTCAGACATGGTTGCTGCTGAGACACACTCATTCGCCCACTGGGTCTATCGCCCACACACTCAATTCAATCACCCACAGACTGAAGCGCTTTTTCTGTTGTTATTATCAAAGGCAGTGGTTGAGGAGCTATGCTACAAGCCGGAAAGTCGCGGTTTCAAGTCCCGATGAGGTCACTGGATTTTTTTCAGTTGACCTAATCCTTTCAGCCGCACTAGGCCCTGAGGTTTACTCAGCCTCCAACCAGGAACTAATTAAATGATTTTCCTGGGGAGTAAAACACGGCCGGCGAATAAGACTAACAACCTTACCGCCATCTTTGAGGCGATTGTCTAGATAATGTGGGACCCTCAACGTCTCACAGCTCTATGGGCCTTCACGGCCTGGTACAGGGATAGCTTTACTTTATTATTATAGGTAATATTTAGTGACATTTATGTCTCGATATTGACAGTACTTCTCATGAATGACCTTGGAGATTTGGAAAACCACGAACACACAGAGTATCCAGTATGTGAGCAAACAAACTCCCTGGTTTCAGTCCGCAAGCGAACTATACCGACCGAGCGACCGCCGCTTGCCGGCGAAGTTAGTGCCAACTTTAGCGGATAGTGGGTGTCGCGTGGTCAGCGCAACGGATCCCCACGGCCGTTAATTTAGGTTTTCTAGACCGGAGCCGATATTTCCTTCAAATAGCTCCTCAATTATCCTCACGAGGCTGAGTGGACCCCGTTCCAGACCCACTACTTCTCAGAAAATTTGGAAGCGCCGGGAAACGAACCCGAGACCTCTGATTCTGTTGCCAGGAACTCTGACCACTAGACCACAGGCGGTATGTGAGGCGCTCTAAAAGCTCCTCAGGACACAGCCACCCAAATTATAGTCCAATTCGGAATTCTATAAATAACAATTATCATAGATGTACAGAATAAGGTGGGTCTACAAAATACCTTTAGCCGATGAGATTGTCCGCGCGGTCTAAGGCATGAACCGTCTTCGCCCTCTCGAAGACCGGGTTTGGATTGGTAATTGAATTTACTGAACACTTACAGGTCGTAATTATATGTAACGATAGCGCTATCGCTAATTCACACAATCTACGATTCACTACAGCGAGCACTAAATTTTCTCTATCTGCTGTATGTTCACCGGTTGTCTCCTGGAAACGGCTTCCAAAGCGGTAACTTCCTCAGCTTCTGTGTTCATGTGTTTACCGGCCGACTACTGTCTCACAACTAACTAAATTCTAGACCTCACAGAAAACACATCAGAGTCAGGGTCAGGGTCAGGGTTGCTTTACGACTGACGGTTTACTTCCAAACAATTCGTCTGGCGACAAACCCCTTGAGACTCACGACCAGTATTTTTTCAACTGAATACATGTTTTTATAGTCCTCATGTAACAGTCTCTCTGAAGAAAAGATGGGTTTGTACTTTACAATTGCTGCTGGGCCTCGCCAGCGCAGTCATTCTCAGGTCCGACTCCCGCGGGACTCGTGACCACATTTTATTGTCTCAGATTCGACACTCCCCAAACCTGAAGGGACAGGTACACATATTTATTTCCCACAGGAAGAGGGTGGTCCGACTATACCCTCGGGCACTGGGGTTCCTTTTCTTCGCTTCCTACGACTCACAGGGATACGGTGGGGGTATTCGAACCCGCCTCCACATGGGGTCAGAAAACACTTCTCGCCAACATCTCTTCTACTGTTGCGTCACGTAGCTCTCGCATGGACCGACCAGAGACGACCGCTTCGCAGTTAGACCATTGGTGTGTGTTAGGAATCCGTTGCGGCCATTAACTAGCAACGGCCATTGTTTACAAAGTCATTACATAGCAACGGGTCTATATGCCAAATATTAAAACTTCAACTAAATATTGTGTAGGTGCGTAATTACACTTTAAAGCAGCGTCGCAGTTAGAGCAACGAGAATAAATTGAAATGAGCGCAGAAAACAATCCAATTGAATTCACATAACACGAACAATATATGACGTGAAAACAGGATAGAGGGCAAAAAGACATTAATTAACGACATTGTAACAAACGGCAAAACGGGCTAAAAACTTCGTATAGAGGCATAAGTGGGAATTGTTATCCAGCTAAACTATACCTTCATATTTCCACAGCACTCTCAGCAACAGGCAGTTCAGCGTCTATGCTCTTCAAGATGCCAATCAGACTCATGCCTCGTGCTATTAGTACCCGGAGAGAGGCCTTTTGAAGTTCAGATTGCCGTGACGAACTGCACAGCTATGACCCAATAGGTACGCGCTACTGATCGGGTTATATCACATTCATGTTGTGGTCTTTTGGGATATTAGTCCATGTAAGAAGTAAGGGAGAAGAGGAACGCTTATAGGCATTTAGCAGTAAAGCCAATGGGAAAGAGATTAGAAGGAAGACATAGACGTAAGTGGGAGAATAATATTAAAACGGATGTCACACACACAGGACTGAGTGACATTGACTATTTTAATCTGGTTGAGAATAAGAACCTTATATTGGAGATAAAATAAAAACCAAGTCATGAAAGCGTATGAAGCAATGAAGGTATACATCCATGTATTCTTAATCTCGTTATTAGATGGAGGTAAGTAGCCAGTTTAACGCTTCAGCCGCTTTAACCTCAAGAAAGGCCCCCCCCGTATCCTTCAGATAGGACATCTGAATGAGGTAGACAAGAGAACAAATAAATTAATATTAGGGAAACTAAACAATAAAAGTAAAAAGTAAAGTAAAGGTGTCCCTGTAACAGGCCGTGGATGCCCATAGGGTTGTGAGATGTTGAGGTTGTCAGTCCTATGCGCCGGCCGCCCTTTACCCCCAAGAATATTCCTGGTACTCATTTCTATTAGAGGCTGAGTCGACCTCAGGGGCACAATGCGGCTAGGATTAGGTCAATTGAAAAAAACCTAATGACCTCATCGGGACTTAAACCCAGGGCCTTCCTACTTGTAGCATAGTGCCTCAGCCAACTATACTACCTAAACAATACTTAATTTAAATATTAATTGGTGAAGTTTGTGTCTTTTCTGTCACTTCGCGTTATTATTTACTGATCATTCTTCTTTAATATTATCACAATTTCTCAATATAATTAATGTAAAATTGTTATATGAATAAAGAAAGAATAACAGAGAATACACACAGCTTTATAAAACACGTATTATGAAACATGCAGTACACGAGAAGACTAGTGTCCTCATGAGGCTGTCTGTTGTTACGAATTCAGAATACAGAGACTATTTTTGGCGACAGAATTGTTTGTTACAGGCCCGCTGGAGGGAAAGCAGCTACTGCGGCTACAGGATTGCTATATAAAACGGGGGAAAACTCGACAACGCACTTTCCTCGTGTCCGCCATCGTCATCATGCAGACAGTGAGTACCAGCGCAAGTGCGGGAGCTAACAGTATGTTAGCTCTAGCCTTGCTGAAGTTTCTGACCTCAGTCCTTCAGAATTCCGATTCAAGTTTCAAAATAATTACAAGCAACAACTATTAATTTTATTTATAATTTTAATCTATTGATTTTCTCTGAACAGCGATTTTTATCTCTCAGGAACGCCAAAATAAATTAATTTGGGACAAGCGGTAGTGTATTTGGTTGAGGCACTATACTACAAGCTGCAAGGTCGCGGGTCTGATTCCCGATGGGGTCACTGGATTTTTCAATTGACCTAATCCTTCCAGCCGCACTACGGCCCTGGGGTCTACTTAGCCTCTAAGGGAAATGAGTGCCAGGAATCTCCTTGGCGTTAAAGGGCGACCGGCGCCTAAGGCTGACAGCTTTACCGCCATCTTTGAGCCGATTGTCTAGAAAGTGTGGGAGTCTTGACGTCTCACAACCCTATGGGCCTCCACGGCCTGTTATAGCGATAGCTTTACCTTCTCCTAAGGCGAATTTTGAAGTAGTACCATAAATAACCAATCGTTACGAAGCCCTCCACATGCACTACCTACAATTGTCTTAAGAGCATTCTCTGTAACCAACACAGGCTCTGGAGGTTTCGTAACAGATTTTTCGGGGTAGTGTTATTAATGCCGGGCCAAATCCAAAATTTGGAGACCCAGGAACTACTCTCATTCTGACCCCCATCCTTTGCCCTGTCTTGCATGGGTGGCTCTACCAGGAGCTTGCGCTCCCGCCAGCATAGCTCTCCGGATCAATTGGGCGCAGTCCTCCTCCTTAAAATAAGACTGTAGTCCTCTAGGAGGACCTTGTGTTACCAGATTACGTAATGCCAAGCCTAACAGAAGCCATGTCACCGTAACATCATCATGAGTGTCATTTTTCCTGCTGGCTGCTACCAATGTGTGTGTCTGTTCTAGATCGCCCTACTGCTCCTGGTCGTGGCCGTTGTTTTGGCTCTCCCTGTGCCACAGGAAGTGCAAAAAGGTGTGATTCCAGTCCTCCAGCGCACAGAGGTCAGAGATGAAGTGGGACAGTTCTCCATCAGGTAAGACTCGAACCATGTACGTACAGGATGAAATCCTGGCAGCTTCCTTAAATAAGACACAAAAATAAAAGGAGCAATAAAAGTTAAAATATAAAGCAATCCCTGTAACAGGCCCATGGGATTGTGAGATGTCGAGGCTTCCAGATTTTCTAGAAAATCGGCTCACAGATGGCGATGAGGCTGTTAGCCTTACGCACCGGTCGCCCTTTAATCCCAGAAAGATTCCTGGTACTCATTTCTGTTAGAGACTGAGTCGAACCTAGGGTCGCAGTGCAGCTGGAAGGATTAGGTTAACTGAAAAATCCAGTGAGCACGTCGAGAATCGAACCCGTGACCTCCCAGTTTGCAGCATAGTGCCTCAACAAACTACACTACTCCCGTTACATTTGTAATTGATCGAATTAAAGAGCGCTTACTTTGATGATGTAGTTTTAATATTAACAGGCCGCGCCATAGCTCAAGCTGTTAGTCGCTGGTTTCCCACCGCGGCAACCCGGGTTCTATCCCGGGTCTGGTCAAGTGGGATTTGTGGTGGACAAAGTGGCCCTAGGGCAGGTCTTCTCCGAGTACTTCGATTTCCCCTGCTAATCTGCATTCCACCAATTGCTCCACAATCACCCTCACCTATCATCTGGGGCTGGTACAATGGGCCAGAAGTGGCCGCAGTACAAGGGACTTAGACCCACCCCACTAGTAGTAAAAAAATACAATGTTAATAAAATTATAACCCGGAATGTCTAGGTATTACGGCATAAATAAGAGCAAGGTATGTTAGTCCCGTAGTGAAGCTTAAATCATGAATACAGCTTATTAAGTCAATTAAATTAGAAGCATGAACCAGAGCCTGTCACTCTTATGTGCAATGTTATTCATGTTCTCCTATATAATAACGTTACACCATCCCCCGAAGGAAAGGCGGGTTCTACAATTCACATAAAAAAAAAACAAAATTTTAAGTTCCTGAAGACTGACGTCCATTAATATTCGAAACCTTGCGAAACATTATTTCATTATAAATTATATCCTCTAGCCAAGTACCATCCGTGTCAAATGCAAAAGGGATTGGTGTAACTCAGGGGCGCCATGATAATTATGGGGGGTGAGTTTTGTAATTGCCGGTGGAAAGAATGTCTTAAAAATGATAGCAAGTTGACTCAGAAATCAAAATGACTTACGGTTGTCGACCGTGTTATTTCCGTGACAGCTGACATCATGCAAAATTCCTTCTATCAGCTGACCAACATGTAACTATAATTTAGGTTTGACGTTTTCACAGGACGGACTAAAATTCCGGGATGTGACGCCGTGTGTTCTGGGCCTCATACTTGCTTCTTGCCGGAAGTACTTTCATACGAAACGTTGGTAAAATTTTACCTTAATATAGAGCATCATGCCGGTCACGGTAGCCGAGCGGTCTAAGGCATGAACTGTCTTCGCTCGCTCGAAAGCCGTGATCGTGGGTTCGAATCCCACTCAGAGCATGGATGTCTAGTGTTTGTGTGTGTGTGTGTTTTTCTGTGTTTCTGCCTTGCGACGAGCTGATCACCCGCCCAAGGAGTAATGCCAAATGTCTAAAATCTAGTAAACCGAAGTGAAACGGAGAGTTTCATGGTGGCAGCCCAAGGTCCTAAATTGGGGCTGTAGCGACAACGGGGGGAAAAGAATACAGCATCACATCCCACAAGATCAAATTCTTCATAATATATCCTAGTAAGCAATAAATTACATGGTCGTCATCTCCTGTAGCGTCTCGAGTTCGATCCCAGATCCTGTCATGCGGGCTAATTTTGTGGAAAAAGTGACACTGGGGAAGGTTTTATCCAATTCTCATTCCACAACTGCTTCAAGTACAGTCTCGATAATGCTTAGCTAACTCCATGGAGCTGAATGCGTCTTGGGAAGCAGCCAGTCGCTTATATGCTCAAGAATTTTATGGAACCGAAAGTTCATTACCATGTTCACAGGAGTCTGCCACTGTTCCCCACACTGAACAAGACGAATTCAGTTATCATCATATTTCTATAGGATCCTTTTTAATATTGTCGTTCCACCTATATCCATATCTTCGAGGTTGTCTCTTTCTTTCTGGATTTCCCACCAAAAAGGTGTCTCTATCTATCTTCTCCCCATGCGTACTGGAAACAAGAGGACACGCACATCTTGACAGAGTTGTTAAATAACAAAATTAAAAATAAATTATACAGGAAACTCAATAAAGAATCCGAACGGGATTAGAAGCAACTGTAACCGGATTAACTGCTCCAGATATTCGATTCGGGGACATGGAGACACTAATTGGGTTTTTCCGGGCTCTCAATCGCTCGCTGAAGGTCGCAAACAAGTGGACAGAACTCTAATTGGAGGCCACAAAACGCGACGGAGCGGTACGTAGCACAAGAGACCCAAAGTCCATCCCTTCCTCAAGATGAGGTCCCTATATTTGTGTTACTAATTACAGCTGAACAAATTAAAGTCAGGAGTTGCCGGAGTTGAACCTCCCGTCTCTTACATAAACGCAAACTTCAATACACACAGAGATCTATGGTTTTTATGGGTTTGAAACTTCGTCTTTTACCGCAAGGCAAAAATAAAGGCTCAGGGTGTTTGAGAAGAGAACGCTTAGGAGAATACATTAATTTTTTCTTATTCGCTTAGTGGGAGGGGGGGTGGAGTCCAGCTGGGTCCATGGCACGGTGGCCAATGACTGATCTATTGTATCTGCCCCGGGTGATTATGATGATGGAGAATTTGGTGGAATGAAGATTGGGAGGGGAAACCGAAGTATTCGGAGAAAACTCGCCCCAGCGTCACTGTGTCCACCACAAATCCCACTTGACCAGACCCGGGATCGAACCCGGGCCGCCGCGGTGGGAAGCCAGCGACTAACCGCTTGAGCTATGGTGCGGCCTTAGGAGAATACCTTAACCTAAGACAGAGGATGAAAAATCTTTATGAAATTACACAATTTACTGATTCATAATTTTCAGTCTTCTCAAATATTATATTATTAGGAATATTAATTTAAGGGGAATGAAATGGCAAGGACATATGGCACACATACGAAGATTAAAACTACTGTGGCGTATAGAACCGTTACTAAGCAGTGACTCTGTAAAGAAAGACATTTCTGGGTGAACGGCCCTGTAAAAACGTTCCCGCTGCAACAAATAGGGTTACTGTTGAAAATTTGGTGTTTTCTATGTGGTCCGTGCCGAGATGTTCTAACCAGGACGTTTGGAGCAGTGAGGCCAGGTCGAATACCTCCATAGTAGCCCTGCGAGTCGTATGAGGCGGCGAAAGGGGAAAGTCAAACCTGAGGCAGTAAAATATGGTCGTGAGTCTCACGGGACTTGGACCCGAGAAAGACTGCACTGCCAAGGGCAAGCAGCATATACAAAAGACAGACCCGTCTTCTCGTCAGAGAGGGCTCCCCACAAAAAAAAAAAACAAGACCGTAACTGTCAAACAGTAGTAGTAAATATCTGGTCATGAGCCCCAGATGGAGCTCGACACCAAGACTTAATGACTGTCTGACCATCACTTTGACTTTGACAGTGAATTCAGTTGTGGGTAGCATTAGCCAGCGGGCAACGGCGTAAGTACAGAAGCTGAAGAATCTCCATTCCTGAGAGCTGTTACCAAGCAACGGCTAGGGAAGTCTATAAAAGACTGAGGCTTAGCATGTGCTGTAGTGATTTGTAAAGTGCGTTGATCAGCGATAGCCCTGTAATTAATTGTAGTTGCGAGTGGCGTGTACAAGCGGCAAGTAATTCCATTCACCAATCCAAACCCCGTCTATAGTCACTCCAAATCATGACAAAACAATAATTTCAGCCCAACATTTGATTTATTCTTGTTTTCATTAAGACTGCTTCAATGGCTCGTATGATAGGATGATCAGATAATATAAGGAGCATGGGGAGAAGTGGTAATGGTCTAATTTGAGGTACTATCCCAGAGTTTATTTGATGAGACTGATGAAAACCGAGGATAATGACAGTCATGATATCCATCCTCAGGTCCGTGATTTGTGTCCGGGACTTCTTGCATACGAAGCAGGAATACCAACCTTGCGACAGTGCCCGAAACATTCGGGTTGGGTCAGAAAAACTGAAGAACTGAGGCTAATATTGAAGTAGATCTCAGAGAAATAATATATGACGGTTAATTAGATTAAACTGGCGAAGAAAAGAACTCTGCGGCGAGTCTTTATAAACAAAAGAGTGGCTTCTCCGGTTCCATTAGACGCTGGAATTTCATGACGGCCAGAGACTCCACGGCTCTGACAATCTGCAGTAACTTGACTCGTTTCTCCAGATAAATAACGCGAAAACAACTTGAAACGGCTTGCAGTTGCTACGTTTGTATTCGTTTAATTATGTTTCTAGCAGGGCTGTCGGCAATTATCTGAGATTACACGGCGTCCGGGTGATCACAGTGGCCGCGCGGTCAAAGGCATGAACTGTTTTCGTCCCTTCAACCACTGGGGTCATGGGTTCAAATCCACTCGCGTCATGGATGTCTGCGTGCGTTTATTCTGTGTGTGGGTAGCGGCCTAGCAACAGGCTGACCCCCCATCCAAGGAGTCCTACCGACTGTGTATAGGATCTAGAAACTGAAAAAGCAGCCAAGGTCCGAAAGGGGGCTGTAGAGTCATAGATAGTTGGATGGAAGGATGGATGGATAAATAGACAGATAGATAGATAGATAGATAGATAGATAGATAGATAGATAGATAGATAGATAGATAGATAGATAGATAGATAGATAGATAGATAGATAGATAGATACATAGATAGATAGATACAACGTCGAATAGTAGAAATATAAGGCAATAATGAGTGGCAAAATACGTAAAATGAAGTGGCCCTTGTCGAATTACAAGCTTTATCCCGGAAGTTTATTGAGGAAACTGAGGAAAACCACAAAATATCTGTCAGGATACTCCGTGTTCCCGTTGGGATTCCAAAACATAAGCTCCCGAATACAAGTTAGAAGCGTCAGCGTTTTGAGTCAAACTCCTCTGTTCTGGTTTTCATATAAGAAATAGTTTACTATGTATTCACCAACATTACTCAATTCTTTAGCGCCAATACCAGGGGCGTAAAAATCTTGTCACTGAGCCGAACAGGTAGTGAAAATATGAATCTTATGTACAAAAATACAGTGCACTTTCTTACATAAACACCAAGGTATTTTTAAGATGTTGAGAGTTCAGCCAGAAATGTCATATACGTATTATAAATGCTTCCGTATTACTAACTCCCCTTGCTTACTTTTATTCATTTACTGTCCTACATGTTATCGAATGATACGTCGAGGCCGATGTTTAACAGTCTCTCGCACGAATTAACACGGAAAAGTAGTGAGTGAATCTTGAACTACCTCCTTTATGTTTTATATACATCCACATGAAAATATTATTATTACTCAAATAACAGGCAGGATACACTGAAAAACAGAATGACTGCTCGTTCGTGACCAACTACGAGCACATACAATACATACGTGCAATATTTTACGACTCGGCAATGGTTTGCTTTGGCAATCAGAAATTTGTGTTAACAATGATAAATCACACGCTTATAAAAAAAGACTCCGTGGCTTTAGTCCACAAGTGAAGTATACCGACCGAGCGACCGCCGCTTGTCGGCGAAGTTTGTGCCAATTTTAGCGGATAGATGATGTTTCATGGTCAGCGCAAAGAATCCTCACGGTCGTTAATTTCGGTTTTCTAGACCGGAGCCGCTATTTCCTTGAAAGAGCGTCTCAATTATCTTCGCTAGGCTACGTGGATCCCGTTCTAGACCCAATATTTCTCAGAAAATCTGGTAGCGCCGGGAATCGAACCCGGGACCTCTGTATCTGTAGGCAGGAACTCTGACCACTAGACCACAGAGGCGGTCATCACACGCTTATAGAACATGTTATTATATATAATGACAAATAATCCTTATTTTTTACCTCTTAGAAAATACTCGCATAGCCTTATCATTATTCAATTATGATTTATTCACCATGTTATAGTATTTTTAAATATAAAATAATATTAATGTTATAAGATTTTATTTTATCGTACTTTTATTAAAGTATGTATGACTGGAATTTCTCCTCATAACGTTTATAGGACGAGCGATTGAATTCTTGTAGTCATAACATTTCATGTAATATATATATATAAGAGATTGGTTATGTTAACTGCAGACGCTGTATGTACATATGCAGCCCACCCGAATGGCTAAAGCAACATCAGAGAGAGATATTTATAGCGAACATCAATGTATTTTATGACTAAAACACTTATCACTTGAAAAAGTCTACATAACTCAGCTAAACCTTCCTATTACTCCCTGAGAGGCAATATATATTAGGGATGCGAAATGTCTGATCCGAGTGAGCAGTAAGTACAGTTTTATGCAAAAATGCAAGACATTAAATTCTACAGATAACACAAAATTTTTTACTTACTCACTCACTCATGGAGCTGAGCCCTTCTTGAGGAGCCGTCAATTCTGCAGCTACTCAAGAATTTCCCAGCATTTTATGGAACCTGAAGGTTCATTACCATGTTCATAAGAGCCCTCCGCTGGTCCCTATCCTAAGCCAGATCTATCCAATCCATATCATCCCATCCTATCTCTCTAAGATTCATTTTAATACTGTCCACCCACCTACGCCTTGGTCTTTCTAGTGGTCCACTTCCATGTGGATTCCCCACCAATATCCTATATGCCTTTCTCTTCTCCCCCATTCGTGCATGAAGATTTCCTATTTATTTTTCTTGTTTTCGATTGTCTGCTGAAGCAACTGAAGGATTTGTTTTCGTGTATACTGACCGACTTACAATGATCAAGAACAAAAGACTGTGATAACATTGGGTCATAGTCACTAATATATCTCAAATTTAGACCAAAGAATGCTCGATCGACATAACAACATGTTTTCTCCACCAGTTACTTGTCCGGAGACGGAACCGCGGTCAGCGAGCAAGGTGCCCTGAAGCCCAATGCTGATGGTAGCGACAATGTTCTGGTGCAGCAAGGTTCATTTTCGTATACCAGTCCCGAAGGGAACCCCATCCGAGTAACATATGTGGCTGATGAACTCGGGTTTCGTCCAGAAGGTTCCCACCTGCCAGTAGCCCCAGAAGTGGCGCCACCGACTTTCTAACAGCGACAGGCTCTGTCCATCCTAACATTCGTGTAAAATGCATACAAACCTTGTCTATGCATGTATTTCAGTCTAGCTTTGTAATGTGATGTTTTAGTTTTTTACTGAAAATTATGTGTATCAGAAATGTCACTCAAAGGAAATTCAAGAATATTCTACTGTAAATATACAATAACATTTAGGCAGACTTCGTAAACAATATATACATATATAAGTATTCAGAAATAATTATAAATTGCATTAAAAATCCATTCTAAAAAGTTCTGACGATATATTTAATTTCTCATTGTGAAATTTCTGGACTTTACCCATCTAGTATTCCGAAGTAACATGACGTTTCGGAATATAATTCTGCTTCTGTCCTCATGATAAAAATTGGCGAGGTACCTCTTCAGATGGGACAATTACAAAGAGGTAATTTGAAACACTGAATTAACTGATTCTTTCCTTTTGTACATTCATGAAACCATCGACTTAGTTAGTTAGTTATTGGAGAGGGTGGGTTTCCCCATGCACTGAGACCTGTACTGGTCCATTGTGCTTCCCTCTATGATTTCTACCAGTCTCTATATTCTACCGGTACTGGTGCTTACCATCAGTCCCGCCCAGCCAGCGAGACCGGCTCTACTGGCTGAGAAGTATCTATAATGCTTCCCCCATCTACCGGAGGTATTAGTGACTACTGTTGGGCGGGAAACGTCCGCAATTTTGGCTCAGTGACCTCCTTTGGAGATATGAGGTTCTTTTACGTGTCGTAAAGCTACGACACGGGACCCACGGCTTAAAGTCCCTCCCGGAGGACTTGTTCCCTGAATTTTTCCGCCCTTAAAAATTCGACGACCTCCGCCGGGTATTTGAACCCGCGTATTACGAGTCATGAGGTGGGAACGTTACCTCTCGACTACGGAGGCCGCTTAACCATCGACTTAACTGCAACACTAATTTTCTTTTTACATGTAAATTTTTATAAAATGTTTCGGCCTCAATTAAGCCAACGTCATGCATATACTCTTGCAAAAATTGTTGTACTGTCATCTTAGAGAGTCTCATGTGAACGTGTTGTTAGTTTTAATTTCTTCGAAATATTTAAACGTTCATAAAATTACTGATTCAACTGCGCTGCATCCGGTAATTTTGGTATTTTTATGCGCCAACATATTTATGTTATATCCTTTTCCAGCCAGGTTTTGTTGAAGTGCGCTTGTGTATCTGCATTTCAGTGTAACAATGTCATGTTAGCTCTTTCTAATGGGCCCACCTGCACATAGGTCTTTCACCTTTACCCCTGAGGACGGAAACAGATCCAGTTTCCAAAGTATTCTATTACTTCTGAATACTAGAGGATGAGCAAAGAACACAAACTCAATTCCAAATGATCTGAAGATATACATTTATGTGAAAATTATTATTAAAATTCCGCATGACTTGAATATGTTTGCAATTAGGTTACCTACATTGAAAACAGACTCACTTTAACACCCTCGAGAAATGAGACGTCCTGTATATAAAAATTTGAACTCTGAAGTCACTTTTAGCGCTCAAGTATACAGGTAAGACGTGCTCTCGAACTGTCTGCATGTAATGTTCTAACTGTAAATGAATAATTTTGTTAGGTTAGGTTAGGTTAGGTTAGTTATGATTCACTGAAGCAAACATTTATTATACTACATCATTCAAGAGATCAAATGCAACTGGACGACAATTTTCATGGTGAAGAATCTTACCTGAAAATCTGATAGTAGTGCAGCTACTCGTAGTTAAGAGATGTCTAGCCTTGTATGGAATCCAAACGTTCCTTAAACTCTAAAGGGTTCTGACGATGGTGGATAACACACAGAATTACTGGGTTTTTGAACCTTTTCCATTGTCCAGAATGCTAGGAAATAGAAAACACGACGATTAGGAAATTATATCTGTTTCCGAAACGTCGTGTTTTCTATTTTCTAGAATTCCAGAAGGTGGAAAAGTCCAAAAACCCAGTAAATCTGTTCGTTAAACTGTTTATGAGAGTTCATATTGAACCCCATTATCAGTCACACAAATACAGCCCAATGTATATTATAATACCACATTTCTTTAAAGTTGAAAATGTAAAGTTATCTTTGTACTTCATTAAATAAACACCACGCCATGAAAATTATGGGAGAGTGGAGGTATAACTCCACCATTCTCGACCTCAGTGTTCGATGGAGATGAGTGGTCAGCTTCGCGCTCCGGTCGCTTTAGCCGGGGAAAGAACCTCCGGTACCCTTGGATAGGAGGATGGGCCTGTCTGGACACTGGGGAGAAGAGAAACTCTTCCGGGGATTGAACCCCGGTCGTCCAGCTTGTAACCCGTCGCTAAACTGACTGAGCTATTCAGGCCCCTATTATCTATATTTCCCACGTGGTCTCTTGCATTCAGGTTTTCAGACTGTGTGCCGTCTTAGTTGACACTCTCTGTTGGATACTTCTATCAGTTGCTTTTCTTTGAGTACACGACTGCTCAAAGCCGCAGGAAATTACATTGAACTGCCGTCTGGAAGAGATATAACCTAGAAGCATATTTCTCCTCTGGAACATGTTATTACCTTTGCACTGTACACTACAAGCAACCTACGTACACAGGAACATTCAGGTCATATGATTTGCAGTTGCTCTCTTACGTAATGAGAAACAAAACAGTTTCATCACAATAAAACAGAAATAAAAATTTTGACTTAAGAAATACATAAATAAACACTAGTTTTAAGGAGAACTTTACAGACTATGATGCAAATAATGGCACTGGTTCACCGTCTTTACCTTTATACAAGTACATTACTGCAGAATATTTTTGTTCTACTTGCTTGTATCGTGTAGAATGGGACACTAGACGTGAATCATAAATTTTGAAGAATCCCCAGAATTCGTATGGACTGTCTGAGAAAAACCTCGATGAACTTCATTTTCAAGAGTCGGTCTCAGTGGCACTGATCCTCTCGAATATGAAACCAGATACCTGAAAGTGCAGGACATCATACAACCTCAACATACCACTGTCGAGCAGTGAAAAATCTCGTGTCCCACCCATGAATCGAACGCCTGCCGTCCAGCCCGTAGTCCATGCTATACCGATTCTCACTAAGTCATGTAGCTTAAAATATAAATCACTGATTTCGAAGGTTTATTTCCCTCATGTTTACAACTCTGCAGTTACATGAACGCCTAGGTTATCTCTGTGGATGCAAGCAAGGAAGACAATGCATGGGCAACAGCTGCTGTGGACACACAATGCCTCTCTTGTGTATGGAAATGCGCGTCTAGTCTTCTCACTTTACTGTCCTCCCTACTGCCATTCGGGTCTCTGCATGTAACATATTTCCGTGCTGCAAGCTCACGGAAGCAAGCAAATAAAATCGAGTTGAACTACAACTTTGGCAGTACCGACGAATTAGATAACATAAAACATAAAAGAGTTAAAGCTATCCCTGCAAGAGGCCGTGAAGGCCCATAGGGTTGTGAGACGTCGAGGCTCCCACATTATCTAGACAATCGGCGCACAGTTGGCGGTGAGGTTGTCAGCCTTACACGCCGGCCGTTTTTACCTCCAGGAAGATTCCTGGTACTCATTTCTGTTTGAGGCTGAGTGGACCCCAGTGCCATAGTGTGTCTGGAAGGGTCAGGTAAATTGAGAAATATAATGAACTCATCGGGATCGAACCCAATACCTTCCGACTTGTAGCATAGCGACTCAACTAACTATGCTACCGCTAAATTGAATCAACTACTTGTTTGTCCGACACGTACAAGTTTTATTTCAGAGGGGACTACACAGTTACGGCAAACACAAACTGGAATATTATTGTCTTCTGAGATGTGACGCTGTGAAGTATGGTACATATCTACCGGCTTCTTGGAGGAACACACTGTATCCATCTTCAGGTTCAAACAGTATTCAGAAGAATTTAATGTTCCCACCTACAGGGTTCAAAGACTCTTTAACCTTCCACCCTGAAGATGGAAGTGGCACGTTCTTCCGAAACGCCTCCAAAATACGAAGGTTGGGACTTTAATAGTGGCAACTATTTAATTACAGCTAATTCAAAAGAGAAGCATGTTTCGAAGTTTTACTGTCCTTCAGTGTAGTCACCAGCATTGTGTACAACCCGTTGCCAGCGATGTGGACGTCGTAGGATACCTTTAGCAGCGCCTGTTGTGTTGATAGTTCGCATGGAGCGGTCTACTGCCTGAAGAATCTCTGCAATAGTTCTGAAGCGAATACCACGAAGTGGTTCCTTCATCTTAGGAATCAAGTCGAAGTCACAAGGGCTTAAGCCCGGGGAGTATGGTGGATGGTACAGCACTTCCCAGCCCCATCGTTCGAACAAATCAGCCACAGCTTGCACTGTATGCAGCCGAGAATTGTCCTGCAAAATGATGGGTGGGTTCTGCAGAAAGTATGCCCGCTTCTTTCTCAAAGCTGGTCACAGGTTGTGTTCCAAAAATGAACAGTAATACTGCGCACTGACGGTCTGCTGCCGGGGAACGGTATGCGTTAGGATAACATCATCACAGTCGTACACGAGAATCACCACAACTTTCACATTGCTGGGGTTCTGACGAACTTTTGATTCTGTGGTGACCCGTAATGACGCCATTCGTTCGATTGGCGTCTCATTTGTGGCTCGTACGATTTGGCCCATGTCTCATCCAGCATAATGATACGGCGTAAGAAAGCCTCTTTTTCGCGCTCATAGCGCTCCAAGTGGTTACGAGCAGCGTCGTATTGTAGCCATTTCTGCAATACCGTCAAATCAGGCGGAACCCATCATGATGCAATTTTTCTCATGCCCAGGCGTTCCTTCAGAATGTGAAGCACAGTCGTATGCGCTGATTATGTCTCTCGGGCCAGCTCACGAATCGTATGGCGTCGATCACTCTCCAGTAACGCGGAAAGAGCATACATTTCTTCACTGGCACTAGGACGACCTGGCCGACGCATGTCTGCCACATTTTGGCGTCCCTCATTGAAGGCTTTT